ACCTATAGTCGTGTATAGTGCGTTTCGTACAAGTGCTTTTATAGTTTCTATTTTTTTTAATATGGATATAAGTAATATAACAATTATTTTATCAGAAAGAAGCAAAGAATTGGCCTTAGTGAATTTATACAAATATAAATTAATTGGAAAACGCAAAAAAGATAATCTTTAAAGATGGAGGTGTACGAATAATAATTGTTCAGCAATAATGTTCTCAGGTTTAAACAAACATAAAGTGATTGAAACTGCTGGACAACATAAACACGATCAAAATTCTATTGAAAAAATAGAAACACAAGTTTTGAGAGAAAATTGCAAGAGAAAAGCTGAAAAATCAATTTTCACACAGCGACTTAAAATTATTCGCACCGAACTTAATTTAACTAAATATTTTTGTACCTATACAGTTCAAAATTGAAAATGGCAACGTTGCAGGGTTTTTTATGCTCAATCRTGTTGGTTTTCTTTTGTATTTCARTTTCCTTTGATACGCCGACAATTTATGCTCAATCGTGTTGCGAAAAAGGTCTTTTATGCTCAATCGTGTCGCAGCCAATTTTGGGCTGTCGAAGAACCGGATGCAGCACCGTCATCGTTTACTGGCGAGGGTTGGTGCGAGACCCAATTCCGCGCCGAGCATCGTCGTTTGCCATCCGGTCGCTTTCAAGTGCCGCTTCCGATTCGTAAACCGGTTCCACAGTTAAACTTCCCGGGTTCGCGTTCCGTAGCACTTAAGCGTTTTGAATCGCTCGAACGCAAATTGAGCGCCAATACCACACTGCGTGACGCGTACCGTGAGTTCATGTCCGAATATTTGTCGCTCGGTCACATGTCGGTGGCCGCCACCCCAGGGCGATACATTATCCCACACCATGCAGTATGTCAACAGTCTAACGGTGATTTAAAAATCCKGGTCGTATTTGACGCTTCGGCCACGGCTCACGACGGAACGTCGTTAAATAGTTGTCTTCACCAGGGTCCTAAGCTTCAACTGGATATTGTGGACATCTTGACCAGATTCCGAATACACAAACTGGCGTTCACCACTGACATTTGTAAAATGTATCGGCAAGTCTTAGTGGCGCCCGAGTACCGTCCACTCCAACACGTGTTGTGGCGAGCGTATCCGAAAGACCAACTTGTGGAATTTGAGTTGAATACGGTGACGTACGGCTTGAATTGCTCACCGTTCCTAGCGCTCCGTGTGTTAACGGCCATCGCTGAAAAAGACTGCGCGGGATATGAATCTGTACGTCAGGCAATATTGCAACAAACATATGTCGATGACATATGTGTGGGTACAGATTCAATCGACGATATTTTATTGCTTCAACGTGACTTAATCACCGTGCTCGGCAAATCAGGTTTGGAGCTTAAGAAATGGTCCAGCAACTGTCCCTCAGTTCTCGACGCCGTACCTTCTTCCGCGAATGCTACGGGCCCGTTACCTTTAAACGCTGTGGATGAGGGTGGCGTTAAGGTTCTCGGTCTGCAATGGCAGCCAAACGAAGATGTTTTCGGGTGTGCACTCCGGTGTGAGTCATCACATGTCTACACTAAACGCGGCGTATTATCGACGATCACCCGTATTTTAAATCCGTTGGGTCTATTTTCGCCAGCCACATTTTATGCGAAGCATATTATGCAACGAACATGGCTAGAGAAACTTGGCTGGGACGAACCGCTTCCTCGTGATATTCAACTAGATTGGACTGCCTTCGTTGAATCATTACCGTCTTTACGTCCGATAAAAATTCCTTGTTTTTTTAACACGCGGTCCGCCGCTTCCTGTTTGTCGTTGGGCTTTTATGATGCGTCACAATACGGATACGCTGCTGTCATATACCTTCGCGTGCTGGACGACCGGGGTGACGCTCAGATTTCATTGGTCGGATCAAAAACAAAGCTGGCATCAATAAAACCCTTAACTATCCCAAGGTTAGAGTTAAACGCCGCCGAGTTGCTGGCGCGTTGGCTGTACCGCGTAAAATGCACTCTCGATCAACAACTTCACGTCATCGGTGTCTATGCATGCACGGATTCGACGATCGAACTATCATGGCTGGTCAACCGCCATGAAACGTTTAAGGTATATGTATCCAACCGAGTGTACAAAATAAACTCTCTCCTTCCGGGTTGTATTTGGTCACATGTTTCGTCGGCGGAAACCCCGCCGACTGTGCTTCCCGGGGTGTGTTACCATCTGAGCTTGCGTCGTTAACTCTTTACTGGGAAGGTCCTAGTTTTCATCGCCATGATCTGTCATCGTGGCCAGTAGTATTTACCTGAAGTCCGAGTGTCGTCGTTGACTGTCTGCGCTCAACTTCCCGCTGGCGAATGTTCGCCCGTTTCTCGTCGTATGACAGATTGTTACGCATCGTCACACGTATTCATCGGTTCATACACAGGTGTCCAGGTGTCGCAGCCGCCTACAGTGTGAGTGACCGATAGCTCTCACCCGTCATGAGATAGACACATCCCTCTGCACGTTAGTGATTGAGTCACAACGTACTTTTTTTGAGCAATTATTGCACGAGTTAAACCACGGCCGCCGAGTGTCGAACAAACCACTCGCCCGCCTGTTACGCCGTGAGCGTCGTACTAGTCAGGGGTACCAACACCCTGCTCCC